TGCTGGGCAAAGAAGACAAGTATAAAGTCAGCATTGATTTATTCCTTTTATTGCTATGCTTTAGAATGGAAATAAATAACGACATATTACTAAAGAGATAGAACATAAAATTGGAATTCAGGAGTTGTGGATTTTATTGCTAGGATTACTTCAGACTCATTTTCCTTTAATATTTCTGTCCTTTTTCCTAGAGAAAGACAAAAAAAATAATAAATACAGTTTATGTAATGAAAGCTCCAAATAGATTTAGGCCCATTGTGTTGTCTTTTAAAGGAAGCCTATTGTCTTAGCCCCACCTCTACCATGATACATTTACAATCTAAACAGAGATAATCAGTGAAACCCTGGGACTGGGGTAAAGAGAGACAAGAAGATGAAGTAATCTGCCTTAACTTAAATGGCAGAATTTTTAGAACGAGGAGCAGAATTAAGTCTCTGGACTCTCTGGGTATGGGCAGGTATCTTGAAGTGTGGGAGTTACTATGCTTTAATGAATTACCACTGAGCTACAATAGTTCTATCTTAAGTACTCTCTACTCTCACTGCATGTGATGAAAAAATTGTTTTGTTATATTCACACGATCTGATTAGATGGTTAAGACTTTTGAAACAGTTGAGATACACAGATTAAAAAAATGTGGAGTAGGAACTACATGATTGGCAAATACTTTTTTTTCTTTTACTTCTTTCTTTTTTATTTTTCTTTTTTTCTGTTCTAAGATTACTGACATTTGTGGGTATTATGTACTGAAAGCAGCAGGGATCTGCATTGCAGATAGGCGCTCCTGCAGTGCTAATCTGGGAGGAAGATTTCCTCCAGTGTCATTACCAGCCAACCACGCATTACTAAGAAAGTAGAAGAATAGCATGAGGTGAGAGATACTCAGATTTGCCACTAAGCTCAAGGAATATTTGGAAGAAAGGGACTCTTAGGGAATCTTCCCTAGAGGATCATATTTACTAATTGCTTGTAGTGCATTATACCTGATGGTTTTTGAACTGCATTTATTGTACTTAATGCCCAGAAAAGAGTAGTGAACACACAGTCTACTTTAATAATTGTATTAGTTTCAGATCCTTTCCTACTCCAAATTAAGTACAGTATTTGTGCCCCACCTCTCCTCTGAGTGCTTTGCTTTCTACGAAATTAGTACAGGCAGCAGGTGGCCTAAAGAAATTGCTAAACAACAGCTGATCCGAGTCGGAGCAGGCTGTGGATCCCTGCAATGGAACAGGAGGTAGAGCTCTATTATACCGCCTGCTCAGTCAGGAGCCACCCCCATCAGCACTCAGAGTCACCCCTTGATAACAGGATGCTTCTCCAACCTAACTCAGTATACATTACTGAGTTTTCTTTAACTCTTTCTTTGTGCTCTTTGCTTAAAGTATGACAAGGCTTTCAGGGCTAGTTTCATAGTTGATGCAATTTACATCTTGCTATTGATGTTAGTGGCCTTTGCTGCCCAATAAACAGGTTTTTGGGAACAGACTATATGGAGCTGAGATGTATTTACCTAATACTGAATGCTGGCATCTTTAGAGAAGCTGTAAGAGCTCTGATAATATTCCATCTGGAGGCCCCAGGTAAAACCTAACTGAATGAAACAACAGGAAAAGACACACCCAGGGAACATGCTGACTTCTGCTCATTTTCAGTGACAGCGGAGCTGGAATAACTTTTGCAAAGGCCGGTTTGGCCAGAGTTGGCAGAGTCAGTAAAATGGATCTGCTCCTCAGGAAGTAAAACTACTCAGTTTTGTAGCAAGCTAAGATAAGCTTGGGATATAGGGAGATACAGTACAAGCCAGAAGACTATGAATCGTGACTAAAGCATAGCACCAAAAAATAAAATTTGTGTGTGGTTTGGGGAGAGCTAGGCCTTGGGAAAGGCAAAAAGAACCTTACGTTCACAGTGCTTTTGACAATTGCAACCTATAAAAATGGTCCAGTACACATTGGTATTTCCCTGAGCAGAGGGCAGAAACAGTATTCTGCACTTAGACACAAAAAACAAGAATATCGTTTTTATATTATATGTAAAATCTATATTACCTGACACTTTTGTGGTAGTTTTACAATCCATAGAGAGTTTGCCTGTGCATTTGAGTTGAAAAGCTGAGAGTACTTGAATAACACTGGATATAGGTAGCCAGGCTTTTCTGGTAATTGAGCAAAGCCTAGGTTCTTCTTAAGTCTGCAGCATAACAAGATGTGCGTTTACCTGCTGGGCAGCTAAGCTCCACCACAACTGCTCTCTCATTCCTCCTCCTCAAAGGAAAATGGGAATATAATGGGAATCAGGAGTTGGGATAAGGACAGAAAGATCATTCACCAATCACCGTCATGGGCAAAACAGATGCAGCATAGGGAGAGTAATATATTTTATTGCATATCACTAGCAGACTAGAGCAGTGAGAAGCTAAAAGCAAACTAAAAATACCTTCACCCCCAATCCACCCTTTTCTACATCCTCCCTCTACGCAGTGCAGGGGGATGGGGAGTGGGGGCTGCAGTCAGTTCGTAATTCTTCACCTCCGCTGCTCCTACACAGTCACTCTGCCCCTGCTCCACGTGGTGTCCCTCCCACAGGATGCCATCCTTCCTGAACTGAGCCTGTGGGGGCTGCACACAGGCAACATCTCTTCAAGCACTGCTCCAGCATTGGTCCATCCCCCAGGAGCAAACTGCTCCAGCACGGGTCCCCCACAGGTGGGCGGCAGCTCCCCCCAGACCCCCTGCTCCTGCGTGGGCTCCTCTCCATGGGCTGCAGCTCCGGCCCGGGGCCTGCTCCTGCGAGGGCTCTCCATGGGCCGCAGCCTCCTCCAGGCCACATCCACCTGCTCCACCGGGGGCTCCTCCGTGGGCTGCAGCATGGAGATCTACAGCATGGGGGATTGCTCCATGGGCTGCAGGGGGACAGCCTGCTCCACCAGGGGCCTCTCCCTGCACAGGCTGCAGGGGAACTGCTGCTGCTGCCTGGAGCACCTCCTGCCCTCCTTCTGCACTGACCCTGGGGTCTGTAAGGCTGGTTCTCACTCCTCTCTCTCCCAGCTGCTGTTGCACAGCAAGTTTTTTTTCTTCCCTTTCTTAAGTCTGCTCTCACAGAGGTGCAAACAACATGGCTTATTGGCTCGGCTCTGGGCAGCGTCAGGTCCCTTTTGGAGCTGTCTGGAACTGGCTGTTACATTCTGAGTTCTTCTCATAGAAGCCACCCTTGCAGCCCGCAGCTACCAAAACTTTGCCATGTAAACCCAATACATAAAATTATACAGATTATACCGTCAATAGGTTTGCCTTTTCTAATCAGGTAAAGCTTGATGGTGATAGCAATGATCACACATTGGTTTGTAAAATCCATCCTAAAGATCTTTCTCAAGTGATCTCTCCAGTTTTTCTTGAAGCAGCTCAAGAGTTTGAGGTAGTTATATTTTTTCAGAATGCTGTAAGTATACCCTATCTATCTCAAGCTCCCAAATTCATTACACTCTGTATGCATTCAGAAACAGAACTATAAAATTGATTATTTGGGTGCAACAACTTGTGGTTATGCCTAATGTAATTAAGTTTAATGGAACACATGGTAATTTGACTTTGGATACTAATAATGTAACACCTTTCAATACAAAGAGCCTGTGATTTTGGCATGCCATAATCTCTCAGCTTTATCATACAGCTGGTATCATATCACTGGTGTTTTTGCATTGAAATTGCAGCAAATCCAGAGATTTCATAAAATATTTATTTTCATAAAATAAAAATTATCCACTGTAAGTGTACAAACAGAAACTAAATAAAGCAATAGCAATAAACGTTCTGCAGCAAGCATTGACAGGGTGCATTAATGTTTTTAACATTCCTGCAGGTTTTTGAAAAAATATGAATTTTTCTTGTAGAATAACCCAAGTTGTAAGTATGCTTCTGTTCATTTGCAATGCAAGCTAACAGGTAGGAACACTTACCTAATTGTGGTGAATTAAGTAATTTCTAGCAATAGAAAAAGATAGAAATAGGTAGAGCCTGGACTATTAAATCTATGTAGTTGTTTCGATTCTAAATGGATTTAATCTATTCTTCAGCACAGTACGCTGTATTTATAGTTGACTTCAGGTAGACTGCAAAGAGTCATGTCTCCTCAGATTCTAATTTCTTTACTTCAGGACAGGATGAAGAAAAAGAAAAAAAAAAAAAAGCCTTTTTAACAATCTGCTTGTGTTAATTTATTTGTCTGGATTGAGTTCCAAAAAAAATTGGCAGTTTCAGTTGATCGAACTTCTGTGCTTGTGACTCTTGGTTCTTTATTTTGCTGTATCCAGTTGGCTCATGTCTCAGGTCATCTTCAACATTTTAATCTTATAATTTTTTTATGCCTCAATGGTCAGGATGAACTTTGGTGGGAAGCCATGGGCTCAAACAGCTTACAATCTAGTTAGACTTTCCCCCTCTCAGCCTACTAATTGCAGTTCTTGGGTTTGCAAGAAAGAACACTGATATTGTTCCTGATATTTCAGAAGCAGTTTCTATGAAGTTTCCTGTGAAAACTGTTGTAGAAAATTCTAGTTTACAAAGTCCTAACAGAACTGTGCAGGTCCATCAGTCAGCTAGACTGATGATGCAGCTGTGTGCCAGGTGTAGAGAATAGGTTGGTAGCTGAAGTTATTGACTGTCTAGTGAAAATATATATTTTTTTAACAAGCCACTGAAACTCATAGAAATAAGATTAATCTAATGTATTAAGAACACATATTGTACCTATGTCTTGCAAAATTAGGATGAGACGTGGCTATATTGGGTTATACTGCTGCTGCTTCTAAAAGAGTCCGCTTCACTCAATGCCTCAGAGGGCAACTTTCCTCAAAGGGAAAAAAGTTACCATAAATTCTACCAATTAGGGAGCTGCAGTGCCTTCCCCTTGAGTGCTGGATAATTGGGCAGGTGAAAACAGTATGGTGCCATCAAATGAAGGCACATCTGAGTCATCCTGAGCTTTTGTTCACCAGCTCACATAGGAGGTTTGTATCACAACACAACTGCCTTAAAGATTGGTTCAATTTTCAATAATCCTGCATTTGCCGATGGGGAAAAGAATCTTTGTGAAGGAAAATGTTGTATCTTACAGCTACTGAACTGAAGTAAATAAGGTAAAATAGAACTGGGGAATTTAAGGTTGCTAAATGAGATTGCTTATTTCCTAAGGACTAAGATTATATGCCATCTCCTCAGTTATAGTTACTGGGTTCTCTCTCTGTTATCTCAGGTCCTACAAGTTATGACAGCTGAGAAATAATTGTAAAAGCATTTTCCTGGGCTACTTTCTTTTTCTGTAGTTAGGTTATAGGTAGGTCTGCAGATTCCAGTGTTTTGTCTAATTTTGTTCCTTCTATTCAGAAGCATGGCCCAGTTACATTGTGTTTGTGGCTGCATACATGCATCCTGAAGTTTACATGAGTTTATATTCATTGATTTTTCAACACTACAATATGCAGTGCAACATGGACTGCACTTTCTTGTCCAAAATCAGGAAATGCAGATGCTTACTGCATTCTTGCACTGTTTTGTCTCATTTAAATGATTCCAGAGTAGTGATCTACTGCATGATTCCAACACCAAGACAAGCTGCTTATCACAAGTTCAATGAGTTGAATACCCTCCCTAGTAGTCAGCTCAGAACTGTTACTTTGAATTTTCCTTAAGGCTATGCAAATCTTATTAACTTTCTATAGTGTTCTTTCAGAAACCAAAGAATCTACAAACAACTCTCCACCTTAAACTCGAAAAATGGTCGTTGAAACTGATCTGTATGTTATGAAACAGTAAAAGGAAATCTAAAATAAAACTGTCCTCAATCAAAATACTTTCCCTTAAAATGTGGTAGATCTTGTGCAATTTTGTTGCAGTTTTTCAATTTCCTTTACAGTCTAAGATCATATATGACTAGATTTTTTCAGCTCCTGTTGGCCTCAACACGAGGCTTTGTAACCTCTGTATATTTGGCTGAATATTCTGATGGTCTCAGGAACAGACATTTTTTCAGGTTTTCTTTCTCAGATCATTGTGTTTCTTTCAGGCTGAAATTGCTCAGAAGTATACCTCTAGTTCAGCTCTGCTTCAGGGTGATCTAAAATGGGAAAAAAATAAAAAGGAAAGGTCATATATCTTATTTATTTATTTATTTATTTATTTATTTATTTATTTTTAATCCTTGCAATGACAAATAGAAGCAACCTAAACTCATAAGTAAGTAATATTTCTCTCTCTCTCTCTCTTTACTTTGGAAAAACACTATATCGAATATTATTTTTCCTATGTTTTGTTACAAATCTCTTTGAAGAAATGAACCAAGTGCTTTCTCAACCTTTTAAGATGGAGCTGAATGCTGCTAAATGTTTGTTAAATAATTGAGCTGTATTTCAAAACCAAGTACAAATCAAGGAGAAAGTCTGGTTATGAAGTGCTTCTCCTCCCTTTGCCTAATAATTGTCTTGGCATTTTGAATAACAATTGCAGCGGATGTTTGTGTAAAGAGGATGTGAGGCTACTCATATTCCATAGGGATGCTACGCATTTAATTGCATTTTAAATTTAATTACATCTTCACTGTAATTTATCCTGATAAATTGCCCTTACTATCGTGATCAAACCATGTGACCATCCAAATCATTAAGTCTTTTTGATCAAAGGCTAAAAGACAATATTCTTGAAACCTGTTATTAGCGTTGAGGAAATCACAGTGATAGGTAGGATTGTGAAAATATTTTAAAATGTGCAACTAGCCTGTGGAACCCCCAGAATCTGGGTATTGAAGTGTGATGGAAAAACAAAGAACAATCTTTGAAAGTCTTGGTTTGACAATGAGACAAGATGTAGGAGAGCCACTAGTTGTAGAAAATGAAATATTAGAGGAGTACCTTGTATATGTATTCATGCATCTTTTTGCTAAAGTGAATTATTTTTTAATTATTTTTTTTTCTTCGTAGGCAGTTTGCGTCTTTTTGGTACTGTTGCATTGAGTCTATTTGGGTTAGTTGAACTCTGTCTTTGACAGCTTCAGGAGCATGATGCTAACTGAGGCATGAGCTGCCCTACTATTGGGATGAGAAACACTATTGACATTTTGCAAATAGGTCTGTGGACAGGGAGTAGTGATGGAAATATATATATTTTTTTTCATCTAGAGTTCACAAGCTTTGAAAGTTGTTAGGTGATATCTAACAAATACACGATCAAATTAATATTTTTCAAGGGTCTGAAGAGACATTCATTGTGCACAATACTTAAATAAAGATATTCTCAATCCCTGGTTTAGATGGGTTTCAGTAATTAAAGAACATAAGAATTTTATTCGGATTCAACATTCCCTGTTTGTAATTATCCTCTTGAAGTCCCTTTGTAATTATTCTTTTTTTATGATCCTTTACATTAGCATATTCAATCTAAATTGTTTAATTAGATGATAGTTTACTCAAATTACAAATGCATAAGTTTTCTGTATAACAGTCAGGAAAATAAAGAGCTTTTGAGTTTGTGATATGTTAAGAAGGAAAAAAAAGTATTGTACTGCTGTTGTTAACTGCAAATGCAAATTTTTTTCTTTTTAAGTCCCTACTCTATTTACTTTGCATAGACAGAAACAAATCCAGTGCTGTTATTTAGATGACTTCTTGGTACAGTGGGATTTAATCTTTAAAACCGACAGCTATGAAGCTGTGCAAAATTTGCATTCTTTAGGTCCATGTGAACACAGTGGAAAATCTTAGTGTAATATAGACACATAATGTATGCATATCTACATAAAAGAAAAAAGTTCTCTCACGCCTGTCCCTCTTTCATTGTATCAGAGTCTTCAGGATCACCAAAGGCTATGTAATATCAATAAAGATGACTTAATCAACCAATACATGGATGTCACGATAGGTGGTATCCCCTAAGTTTCTCTAGTTATGGCAAATGTTACTTCATGTCAGTCAAATTCTTACCCCAAGACAGGCCAAAGACCGAGGCTTGACATGGTCATCCTTTTCATAACAATCAAATTAGTCATCCCACATTCTTGGCAGATACCTTTCCGTGTCTTGTTGCTTAGTTATGCGTTCTGATTTTTTATTAGAATCCATTACAAGTCGTACAACAATGAACACAGGAATTCTGAGATTTGTAGGATGAAGATGCTGTCGTTTTTCATGAGGAAAGCAACACGTTTGGTGGTTACCCAGAGCTGCTGAGTGCTTAGGTCATGACAGATGTGTCAACACTGGAAACCGCTGTGTTATGTTAGCAGTAAAATGAACAATATATATTTTCTGTTGTCATCTCAGAACTTTGTCAGCTGTGGCAATGAGACAGGCCAGTGACAAAGAAATACCATGAAGAGCTGTTTGACAAAAGTCAACATGTTCCTGTAAAAATACTGCATATCTCGTTGGTAGAATAGTAATATGAGACACAGTTCAGCTGGTAATATGCCTGTTTTTACAGTTGTCTGAAAGCATTCCACTGTTTTGGTGCTTTGACCCAGGCCAGCAGTTGAGCACCACACAGCCACTAGTTCACTCCCCCTACCCAAACTAGGTGGGGGACAAAAAAGGAAAGAAAAAGCAAAAACACTTGTGGTTTGAGATTAAGTCAGTTGAGTAACTTTGCTACAAAGCTAAGCATACAAACAACGTAAATAAAGAATTCATTCACTACTCGCCATCAGCATGCAGATGTTTAGCCAATTCCTGGAAAGCAGTGTCAGCAACAGCCAAAATACTGGTGGGTTATCAATCCCCTTCCAGTTACAAATCCAAAACAAAGCAGCAACCCACAAATGTCTATGAAGAAAATCAACACCATCCCAGTCAGACAATCAGCTGCTAATATTGTAGAGGCTATAAATTAGTTAGTTAGTTTGGATCACAGCACCATAAGGAGAATTTGCAAGTTTTCTCCTATGTGATGTGATTAATAAGAAGTTTTGGATGCACACCAGCATCCAAATGGAGAGGTGAGCCTTAGTCAGATGACTTGGAAGAGCAGGTTTTTATGGCAAGATTTCGGTAGTGGGGAGGCTGCAGGAGTGGCCCCTGTGAGCAGAGCACACCAGCTGCCCCATGTTAGATTAAACCCAGGTCCAGACATCTCCAAGAGGAGTGAGCATTGCTGGTCACACCTTCGTGGAAAAAAAAAAAAGCCCACCACAAAACTGCTGCATAACAGCAGCTAGGAGAAAACATTGAGAAAATGTAGAGAAAAACAACTCTGTGGATACCAAGATCAGTGAAGGAGGGAGAGGAGGTGCTCCAGGAAACAGCATATCCTAGGATAGTAGTAAGAAGAGTTCCAGAAGGCTGGTGGTAAAGGTGTCCACACGCATCTTCAGAAGACCAGTGTGATTGCAATGTAGGTTTTATCAGATATAAGGAAACGTGCTGTGACAATAAGTCAAAACTCCCTCATACTAAAAATGGTATCAGCTATTGTCTATTACCGTATAACCTTTGGGTGAAAACAAGGACTGAAGATGCTCAGATGAATGCCCAGAGAGTGAGTAGCTCAAATCCACTTGAATTACAACTACATTGTTTACTTTTGATCTTTTGGTATCCCAGGCTAGCTGCTCTGGGGAAAAAGAGAATGGGGAAAGACACGGAGTCAAAGTAAGGGTTTCTACAGGCAAAAGGAGAGCAATGGCCTCAGAAAAGGTTTAAAACATGATTCTACTATCAGAGAGCAGGAATTCCCAGTTCTACTGCAGTAGGATTACTACTGCTGATCATCAGCTGCCTCTGTGAACCTTGTTGTGTGTGTGCCATACGCTGTGGACACATCTTGCTATTGAGTTCTCTTGAGCTGTCTTCTTTCTTTGCTTAGCCAGAGTAATCCAATATACGTTAAAATATACAGTAAGGAAATGTGAATGACAGAAATGCTTGGCATGTGCTACTGCTGTTGGTAGGAAAGCTGGTATGATTACTCTCAGACAGGAGGCAGGAAGAACATCTTAATCATTTCCATCTGTATTTAAGATATGTTTGTTATACAGATGGGAACACAGTAGCAAAAGAAACAACATGATAAAATACTGGACATTTACATAGCAGCTTCTGACTGAGTAGTATGCTCATGTGGGATGTGCATCATGCGTATGCAGGCTACATGC